CTCTCTCGATTTCCTCGCTTTGATTTTAGTAACTCAAGTCGGGAGAGGAGGGATAAAATCAGGGATGGCGGCAGAGATGGAGAGATGGAGAGATGGAGATAGAAATACCGAGCGAGGGAAGCCGGCGAAAGGAAGACGTGGACGTGATAGAAACTAAGACAGAGGCACACAGGGACGCACACAGAATAACAGACATCTAGACACAGACACGTTAATGGAAACACCAAGATACCAGGTCAGAAATGCAGAGACAGAGATGCAAGCCTGAGATTAATAGAGGGAAGTGACAGAGACGTGTCAACAGTTATAGAAACGAGAGAGAGAGAGAGAGAGGAGAGAGAGAGAGAGAGAGAGAGAGAGATGCAGAGTGAAAAAGCTGTCTGCTGTCCTCTGCACTCCCAGTGGCTCCCTGTTTTCTTTCCTTCCCAAACTCTTTACCACAAGGGGTACCAGAGGGGGCTGGAGATATATTCAAGGCTATTCGAGGGAGCAGGACACAGGGCTGATGCCCTGGAGGCTGAAGTTGAAGAGATCAGTTCTTGATGCTTTTGCTATTCGCTCCATGGTATGCGCGTTTTGACACACCGGTCCAGGGCTTGCCTCCTCACCTTTCCAGGAGGTGGGCAAAGCTGGGGAGGTCCCTCTGTGGAATGCCAGAGTTTGGCAAACAGCAGGGCAGAGCCAGCTGCCCAGGAGCTGTTCCAGTATTTCTACTTCTGAGTGTGCTCAGGTCACCATGGCTTTAAATTTGAACTTTACCCTCAAGGCCTTGGAAATGAGGGGTGTGTTAATTTGCTCTTTTGGTGGGAGGCACCTCCTTGGAGGTATAGCAGGCAGTTGCTACTGGCAAGAAGAGAGGAAGGGAAAGGAGCCCTCCTCTGGACCACTTTTGCTCCTTCTAATGAGGTGACTCAAGATTTCTGGGGCGTGGGCCAAACACGGTGCTTCCAGAATTCAGCCTCAACTCCCTAGGCTGCCTCAGCTGTCACTTCAGATCTGTTTCTTCCACACCCTCCTCAATGCTTGCCCTTGCCCAAACTCACCATATTCCACCCCACCGGAGCCTTCGCTCGGCTGTTCCCACAGCTAGGAATGCATTCCCTGAAGTCTGCAGTGAGAAATCTTGTCTGCCCTGGCTCTTACTTGCCATCTCTGCTCTCCTTCCCCACAGGAAAGGAATTGCTCCCTCTGCATCCCCCGTACCCTCTGTGAGAGCTGACACCTGCCTTGAATTACTTACTTCAGCACCTATCTCTTGCCCTCCTTGCTTTACAAATTCTTTAAGGACAGGACTGTGTCTGATTCATCTTTCACTCTCTAACGGTGATGGTGGGTGCTGGAGAGTGTTCGTAGAAATGAATTAAAAGTCGACAAGGTCAAAAGTGATTCATTAAAAGGCCACTGTCATGTTCATATTAGTTTTCTTGAATCTGGTAAGAAAACTTCCAAAAGTGATTTTTAAGTTTTATCTGGTAGTTCCCTGTGAGATTTTATTTATCAAAAGCATGGCTTCTAAACCCCCAGGTTTAAAGCGTGGTGCCCCCCAAACCCTCCCCTCCTTTCATTCTTATTCCATTAGAATAAATGGTCTGTAGCTTGGTCTGCCGGTTAGAAATGTTGTCCAATGTCAGCCGGTCACCTCTAGGTGAGAGAGCTGCCACCGTATTTCGACAATCTGGGCATTTGTTCATTCACTCATTTCCATCTGCCCTCATTCTTCTCTCTTTCCTTCAACAAATGCTTATTGAATTTTACTGTGTTAAAAAAAGATACAATTTAGCACATCGCCTGCCACATGGCGAACATTCAATAAATGGAATTGTTGTCATTATTCAAGGCGCTAAGCAAATATCATGGGGAGTTTATGAAGATGAATCAGACTCAGAACTTATATTCACGAAATTTGTGCTCTTAGGGTAATATGATATATTCATACATGACATTTTACCAGGTAGAAACTGAAAAGTGCCATAAAAGACATTTTAGAAGTTTTAGGCCAATGTAAGTATTTTAGAAAATACGGATAATCCAAAAGAAAAAAATATCACTTGCAATTTTATCATCCAATGCTACTTTAATATTATTAATATTTCTTGCATATACTTTCAGTACTTTTTTGAATGTACACTTTTTTGAACAAAAATGCAATCATAATGTTTGATAATCTGTTATTTGATATCAAATTAGCTTCATTTCTGCTATACGTAGAATATTTCATCAGTCTTCCAGTGTTGGCTCTTTAGGTGGCACTAAATTTTTGCCATAGTAAACAATGAAAATAGACTAAATCTTTGAGCACATCCATGAATACTTTTTAAGGATAAATTTCTAGAAGTACAATCGCTCGGTCCAAGAGTGTGTATATTTTTAAGGATTTTAGAACGTATTGCTTAACTGTCCTCTAGAAATTTACATTCCCGCCAGCAGTCTGTCGATGTACTCACACACTCTCATGGGTACCGGGAACTATGATTTTTAAAAAAGTTGATGGTTTGAGAGGTGGAAGGTAGCATGTCAATGCCACATTTATTTCACTGCTTTTGTAAAATTGCCTTTTTATATCTTTTCCCTGTATGTTTTTCTTTTGGGGGACCTTATCATTATTCATTTGCAGGTACTCTTAATGTATATGTATTATTTATATATGTAATCAGTGTTAATTATATGATACATAATTATAATTACTATATATTAATTATATACTACGTATTATACAGTTACTATATAGTAACTGCATAATTATATAATTAATATATATCAATAATATATATTATATATGCACATGTACATATGTCTGTGCCTATATGTGTGTGTGTGGTACATAGTACAGATATTTCTTCCAAGCACAAGGACTCATATTCCTGCATCAGTATGTGGCAGTCAGACTCGCTTTGAGAGCATGCAGGTATCGTGTGGTACACACCTGTGGTTGCCAGCCTGTCGCATGTTTTGGCAGGGAGAGTAGGTGGACAATCCCCCTCCTACCATGTGAGAGAAGAATCCTCATGAGCCTTGGGGTCCCCAGGTGGCTCCCTTTCTCAGGTGTCCCATGTTCTGTCATTAGGAATCAGCTCCTCTTCTAGTCTGTTAACTGGGCAAAATCTCCAGGTCGGAGGACTTCACTAAAGGGGTTCGTGTTAGGGTAATGGCGGCTCAAGAGACTCTTACTAGGGGAGACCTGTGAGGACAGTGGGGGCCTTGGGGGCTCTGCAGGACGGGAGGCTTGACCTACCCCTGTGGCGAGGTCAAGGACAAGCTTTCCTTGGAGGGCTCCCGACAAAACCTCTCTCTGAGAATGGACGTTTCTGGGCCAAGGGGAGGCATCCACTTCTGGTTCAGACTGGGCAGGGAGAAGCCTTCGGCTGTGGTTCTCCACCCTGGTGATACTCCCCAGGGGTGTATTGTCTGGGACCGTCTCTACAGACAGTGAGCAGAGGCCAGGGGAGTGGAGTGCTCTACGTGTGTGGGACAGTCCCACCCAGTGAGGAGCCGCCCTAAACAGCAGTAACAGCCCCTAGAGAAACGCTGTGTGTGGTTCCTCTGACGTGGAAGCCTGTGGCTCCTACGCCAGCCTGCAACCTGACTGCGGGGACTCTGCGACCCTGACGGTCGGTCAGAGCTGCCCTGAGAATAGGCAGCTGTGGGATGTGGGCCGGGCACCAAGTTAGGTGATTTCTTCAGCTCATTCGATCGCCTATTTTAGGAAAAGAAGCTCCTGAGACCCCAAGAGGAAGTAATCGGCTGGAAGTCACAAGCTAGTTAGTGGCAGAGGTGGGTCCAGACCTGTGGGTCCCACATCTACCCTGACCCCCCAGCCTGAGCGTGGTGTGGGGCAAACCACAGTGGACTTTACTTTTGCCTGAGCTTTGGGATTAGTCTGTCATCTCGAAGGAGAGAGATTTGGGAGTTTCCCAGGTCAGCTGAGCCAGCGCAGGCTGGGGCAAAATCAGAACGAGGCGACCATTACCACAGCTTCCAGGAGGAAGATCAGGTAGAAGAAAAAAGCCTTGTTCATCTGCCTCCCGCCGGGGGCTCCTGTTCGTTCCTCTGCTCCCCTATGTCCCAGGGCAGATAGTTCTGCACCCTCTTTATGTAATTTCCTCAGGTCGTGAGATCAGGCATGTGGTGAGCAGGTCCCAGAATCACGACTGTGAGGCTGCACTGGTGCCGACTGTCACAGAGCCTTCGCGATTTGAGAGTTTCATTCCCAGGAAACCATCGAACTTATGGTTTAGTGAGTGGTCATAATGGTTAGCAGAAGGAATGTCGGGGCCGGGGTGGGAGGGAAGAGCTGTAGTATCATCGTTCCTTGTCTTCTGGGGTTTGGACGTCTACTTGGGTTTGTCTCAAGTTAATTCATAGACTCTTCCTTTCTCCGTGAGGTTGCCTGAAATACAGACATTACTCGCCCCTCCTTCCCAAGTGGAATATGTCTGCAAAACAAAAGCACTTTTTACACCACCCGAGGGGGCCTCATCACTCTCTTTTGGAACTCGTTTTATAGATGAGGGAGCGGGGTTCGGGGAGGGCCTCATTTCCCCCCTCTCCTCAGTGATGACCCACCCAGGGTGTCCGAAGGACATGGGTGAGGACACAGGCCGGGAGGGGGTGAAGTTGGTGGGGCATATGGTGAAGAAGCTGCTTCCTTCAAAAAATGAACCTGGTGGAAAATTCTAGGCCTGTACTGAAGAGATGTTTCCCATAGCAACTGCCACCAGCTGCCGTGCCCCTGGGTTTCTCTCTGTGGGGTTGTC